GACATCTTGGACGTGATTTTTGGGAACACGTGATGAAAGTCATGCGCGGTAATATCATACATATCCTCCATGAACATGAGGAGTACTCCATACCTGGATGCAGAGCAGGCGGTGTCCCTGTGCTGATGGGTGCGTTGAAGGCTATGCAGCTTACTACTGAACTTGAGCAGGCCAGCGCAAACATACCGAAAGAGAAGTGGCAACCATTCAGCATACCCGGGGATGGGCACGACAAGGAGAATGTAGTCCCATCCACTTCTCGCACATTCAAACGGTCTGCCCCATCTACCATGGCACCCCGGGCTTCCAAAAAGGCTCGAACCAATCTCGCAAATGCTCATTCTGCTGTTTCATTGTGCACTTGACATTAGGATGTCGATTTTGCTTGTGTTGCCTGTCTTTATGCTTGCTACTTGTACTGTCTTATTAGTGCTGCCGTGGTCCGGTTCGGAGGGTCCTAGACGAGAACCAAGAACCGGACCATCGGTTCGGTTCTACAAAATGTCCGAACCCGAACCGAACCAAAGTCGAGTCTACATGCGCTGTGCGTTTGCGCATGGTGCTGGTGGCATTGGATGTGCTAAGCGGGAGGATGCTGAAGGTAGTGAGAGGGCGCTGAACTTGTCAACTTGATGGCGGGAGGGCTCCAAAGGTAGCGAGAGGGTGCCAAAGGAAGTGAGAGGGTACTGGGAGTTGGGTTGGCACGAGAGGTTCGATCCAAAATATGACGCGACCGGTGGGAACATTACACATACATGAGCTCCACAAAGCATGCCAGAGAGAACTCACTGAGTAGCCCAAAACTCGAATGAGACCATTGCGCCACCAAGAGCTACATTCCAGAAAACGGGACCAACTTTCCCGGTGGTGTTGTCAACATGTGGCGTGTCCCGTACATGGAGTGCCAACTTGTTGGCCTAGCAGAGCACATTCAGTTGTGAGAATATGCAATGAGACATGCATATCGATTCACCTTTGTATCCGAAAGTAGGTCATCGAGGCAGGCTGTGAGAGACGGAGGGTGAGAGACAGCGGGGTGAGAGACAGTGGGCGAGAGCAGCCAGCGGGTGTGTGAGACAGTGAGCAAGAGACAGTGGGTGAGTGAGAGAGACGGAGGGTGAGAGACAGTGGGGTGAGAGACAGTGGGCGAGAGCAGCCAGCGGGTGTGTGAGACAGTGAGCAAGAGACAGTGGGTGAGTGAGACACGGCGAGCGAGCCAGCAAAAGCCAGCCAGAAAGAACAGCAAGCGAGTGAGAGGGGATGCGGTGAGGTGGCGGGCATCAACATAGGCGCAGGTGGTGTGGCGTGTGATGGGTCGTGCGCTGGTAGCGATGGGTGCTGGCCCTCGAGGGAGCCATCAGCATTCAGAGCACAAATACGCACCTCTGCAGCATAGCGCAAGACACAATCCCTCCAAAATCCACCTTGACCGCGCCTAACACATCCACCTCCAGTAAAAGGTAGTCCTGCACAGTGTTGTAGCCGGTCCTCAATGAATAGAACCTCCTGTTATAGAGGTGAGCGGGTGAGAGACTTGAGAGTTTAATTAGTTAGTGCTTACCTTCGAAAAGGCTAAATGTAGCTTGATTAATCAACAACGTGAATCCCGAAGACGACAGTTGTCGAAGTGGAAGTCGATAAGGGTTCAGAATGGTTCGGGAAGGCCGAACCAGAACTGGACCGTTTGGGAAGATCTAGAACCGAGAACCGTTTTCCGGTCCGGTTCTGGCTGGCGCGAGAACCATGGACCGAACCGCGGAGAACCGGACCAAAAGTCCGGTTCGAACCATGGTTCTGGACCGGACCGCGGCAGCACTATGTCTTATGCACTGCTACACTATATTGCTACTTGTCCTGTCTTACACGTCCATGCACGCACGCTACGCTTTACATTGCATTCTCGTTCTGCTTTGGTTACGATGTCCTTGTACTGAACGACTACTTACAGCTGTTTGCAAAAAGGTTGACAGTAGCGACATTTTGAGAAAGAACAAAACAAATAAATAATAGCCACATACATACATCACAAATTGACCATCATGTATCGGAAAATCAGTCGCGACGTCAAACTAGCTGCAATCAATCTTCACGAGCATCAACATCTTGCACTCGAAGACATTCTTGCTTGTGTCGGATTTTCAGAAAGCACGTTCTGGCGGATCCTCAAGCTCTGGCCTGAAACTGGAGACGTTGTTAGGCATACATTTGGTATTCGTGGTCGTCCTCGTACCCTTCATTGCGACGATGTACTATATCTCGTCTGTCTTGTTCACCATCGCCCCAAATGGTTCTTAGATGAGCTCCTTCGACTTCTCGATACCAATCACTTCATCTCTATACACTATACTACCATCCACCACGAACTAACACGCGTCGGCATTTTTCTCAAGAAACTGAAGCAGATCGCGAAGGAGAGGAATGAGGAGAAGAGGATGAACTTTCTCATTCGCATGAGCCAATATTCACCAGAGCAGCTTGGTTTCCTTGACGAAACATCCAAAGATGAGCGTACTGCAGGGCGGCTGCGTGGACGAGCAGCTACAGGCCAGCATGCATGTAGCCATCAGGTCTTTGTTCGTGGGCAGCGTGTCTCTGGACTAGGACTTCTGACTGTAGATGGCATTGCCGCTTCGAGTGTTGTCGAAGGCTCATTCACCACAGTCAAATATCTCGAGTTCCTTCAATCTACGGTGGTATGTCACTGATTCTAACTCTGGCAAGCACTGCGAAGCTGACACAACTTAGTTGCCAATGTGTTCACCTTATCCTGGACCTTTGTCCGTCCTCATAATGGACAATGCGAAAATACATCATGGAGAGGGTGTTGCGGAATTGATCGAAGCTTATGGTGAGTCACCATGTCTGATCTAGATGAGTTTTTGAACCATTGGGGATAGGTGTTCGCCTTGAGTATCTCCCACCCTACTCCCCAGATCTGAACCCAATCGAAGAAGCTTTTTCAAAGATTAAGGCCTTCATCCGTCGCTATCAGGACTACTTCCTTGCATCCAATAGTATTATATTTGACATGTATGAAGCCATGAGTATTGTTACGATGTCTGATGCAGCAGGGTACTTCATTCACGCAGGATACTTTTAGTGACAGCAGAGCAGTAAAATTACATCAAGTCCAATCAGAACACTTTTGATACAAGTATGACAGCAATACAAATCTATGTACTCAATTCATGGTCTGGTTCTCGACACGCTGGGCTTCACATCTCTCCATTAGCCCACTGTGCAACTGCATCCTTCATTGCCGCAATCTCGCCATTCTTGAATCCCATTTCTTTCAGCTCCGAAACGACAATGTATCTGATGGTCCGTGTTCCTGTATATCCGTTTTCCGTGAGCTTGGCATGGATGTCCGGAGATAGGTCATACACAGCACAGAAGTTCGCAAGAGACAAGTCAGGGCCAGGCCAAGCAGAGACAGGAAGAACAGGCATATCAGCACTATTGACGAGAGCATTGGTTCGACCAGGAGTGGTTGGCAAGGGTGCTGATGCAGGCTGTAAGAATGAAAAAATGTCGTTAGGAAGGTTGAAATTGATTGTCGGAACAGTCAATGTGGATGGGTCTGGAGTAGATTGAGCAGTGTTCCGTTCCGCAAGGCGTCGCTGGATCAAGGGTGCAGAGTTCGACAAGAGGTTAGAGGACAATGTATCGAATTCCTTATGGTTCGGTGGCTTGTCGAGTGTCGTGATAGGTGGTTTTGCAGCCTAGTAACAACAAACTATTCAGCGAGTGCACTCTCCACATCATTACCTCGTGTTACCAAAGCAGCGGCCCACACGCTCAAGTGCCGATGGCTTAGCGTGAAATGAGCATTGTTATCCGGTAGGATATAACAATAACCAGACGTGAGACAGCCAGGCTTGTTGCAGGTATAGCGATTTTGCAAAAGTTTGATCTGGGCAGAGAGCTCGATGTTGAGAGGAAGTTCTTTGACCAGCTTCTTCTGTTCGAAAAAATTGAGTATTGATAACTTCAAAACATGATGCGGGAAACACGACACGATTCAGCTACCTTCTTTTTCTTTTTCTTTCGCTTCTGGCCGTCGCTGTCGGAGCCACTTGATTGGCTGGTGTCACCAGTGTCACTGGCCTTCGCACCATCCCCTTCTGGATCGCCATTCTTCCGTTTCTTCGACTACAAAACCATCACAAGATCAGTAGCATATATGCACATATTTACACGAACTGCTGTCTGGTCTTTCAATGCTTCGATCAAAAGCTTCATGGCAGGGGTCTTCATTCTGACAGCACACTCGACAAGATGTTCATACTCGGCAGTTTTTTTGAGGGATAGTGGCACTGTTTGATGACGAAGAATGGTGAACATTATCTTGTAGTCGTCGTAATCGAGCTTCTTTGGTTTCAGGCTCTCGGATATACACTTGAGTATCTGGGCCTTGAGGGTATCGAAGGGTTCGTCCTGGTAGAGCTTGATGATCGCAGTCTCTTCGCTCCTCTTCGTCTTTGGTTTCTTCATCTGTTCAAATGAGTACATGACGAGGGAATATGAAATCATGACATTTTGAGGTGCAGGAGGAGCTAAGCGAAGGATATTCATGACAGTCCTGACACCCTAAGCCTGTGGTGAACATGGCATACCTTCTTTTTGTTTTCGTGGGCGGCCAGGTCCACGTTTGTCGAGTACGTCCACTGGTTCTGACCTGTCAGGGTTTTCGTCTGCAACAACAGTTTGCTTCCCAGAGTCCATGGAGGAAGACTGCAACATGTCGTCATCTTCTGCCATTGATAGTTCACCATCACTAGAGAAGCTGTCCGTGAATATCGAGTCCATTGTTGTGAGTATATGCGTGCGTCAAGCGTTTGCAAGTATATGCGCGACGCGCGTGTTATTTGACCCTATGTATGTGGCTAATATTTATTTGTTTTGTTCTTTCTCAAAATGTCGATACTGTCAACCTTTTTGCAAACAGCTGTAATATACTACTGATTGACCGACTTGATGACAAAATCACTTCAAGCCACATGAATATAGATTACTCCATATGCAATGCTATTAAGCATGCTGCAAGAGGAATCAATGACTCCCTGGTAATTTATGATGTGGGCTGCCAGTGGAGTCTTCATTTTTCAGAACGTGTCAACAACTGCTCTAGCTTGACCCTCCCTGATGACACAGAGATTGTGGTTGCAGTGGGAAAATTTCATCTCAGCGCTCACAAGCTTGCTTGTTTTCCCAGATACAGCCTGAACTTTATTGTAGGAGCTGGGCAGGTTGATGGGGAAATTCTAGAGACACTCTGGGCTCCCTTCAATAAGATTTCTCCAACAGCACGTTCTATGAGCCAAGCCCACCGTCAAGAAATCCTTGATGATCACATGCATAACTCAAATTGGAAAAAACTTGTCCAAATTGGTGAGTGCCTATATTTGGAATCAATTAAAAATCAGTTAAACGGCACATACAGTTAAGACGCTCTTGCAAAAGTACAAACGTGCCAATAAGGGCATCGATGACACTAAGGTGCCATTCCAAGAGCTCACACATTCCTTGGAAGTCAGTAAAGTCTCCTCATGGGAGAAAGATGAAAAACGAGCTATGGAACAATGTGGAGAGCATCTTGACATATACCAACTACAAATAGATAAAGGTGAGTTGTTCCTAGGTTCTTTTCATTTTCACATGCTGTTCATTCTGATGCGGTGATTGGAAGCCCCAACAATGGCAGAAATTCGGCTAAAATTAACCGAAACAGAATATGCTAATACTAGCAAACGAGGATCAATATCTTTACTCACCAGTGGTATCAATTTGGAGAATGCTCAGTATGTCATTATATCACCTTCATTTAAGGTACATCTCAATTTTGCTTTAGGGATGCTTTGAGGGGAGATATTTGAAAGCTTCCCAAAGATGCATCTGCCACTCAAAAGGCAGTAGTTGAAGAAAAACGACAAAAACTGGCAGCAAGGATCTCGAAATTTCATGAAATGGCTGATGCCATGACAGAAGGCATCGAAGTTGACACAGGTACGGAGCACATGGATGACGTCAGATTTTGTACTGCAGATATGGAGGAAGAAGAGAGGGAAGCAGCAGATCCCAAAGTGACTTCTGAAGAAATCTGTGAAGAAGTTGTTGCAGAAGCCATGCGGATCTGGATGCCATCATCAATACCTCACGACAATGCTTTAGCCCTTGGCCTAGGTTCTCTACAAGCCGAAGAACTGCAGTTATGGCAGGGTCAGGCAAATGATTGCTTGGAAAAGTTACAGCAGGCTCTCGGCCACAAAGCCATAATTTACCGTCAACATTTTAGAAGTGCAGATTCCACGTGGGTGGGTACCAGGTCAAAGCAAGAAGCTCGACGATGTCAGATCAAAATCGATCAGTGTGTTCGAAGCTATCAGAGGGCCAGGAATGCACTGCAGAGACTAGGAGTAGATGAAGATACTCTGAAGAATGTTTATCAAGAGATTCAGCCGAGTCAGCTTAATGTAAACAAGGAAGTCACTGAGGAGAACAGATATGGGCAGGGATCAGACAGACTAGCTTGGTTTTGGAGGGTGAACAATGGTCATGATTCTCCTGAAGATGTATGGATGGATGAATGTGAGTCATGTTTCATATTCATTCATTATTACATGACAAGTATCAGTCTACAGGCTAAATTGGTTGAAAGCTAAGGCTCGATGGCAAAGGTGGGAGGAGGAGTTGAGTTTGGTTCAACATGAGATGGGGTGGACAGTGGGTTGGTTTAGATACAAGAAGGAAGAATGGGAACGAAGATACCATGAAGCCACAAAGCATGGTCATCAAGCCTATGCACAACGACAGGTGCTCCTGTGGGGAAGGTTTTTAGTGAATGCAGAAAATTCATTCAAGGACAAAATGGTTGTAGTCACTTAACAATTGTATTCCTAGACTATTCTAACTGAAGTATGTGGCAGGAATATAATAGACATGGTGTACTGATGGTCCAACCGGACTGATTTTCCTTATGTAGACATCGGTCAGAACACCTTCTACAGCATACTGTACCCAATTACATGGTGTACTGATGGTCCGGCCAGACTGCTTTGCCTCATGTAGACATCGGCCAGAACACCTTCTACAGCATACTGTATCCAATTACATGGTGTACTGATGGTCCGGCCGGACTGATTTTCCTTATGTAGACATCGGCCAGAACACCTTCTACAGCTCATACTGTACTGTATTTTTGCTTGTATTATTCTAATTATAATAGTAAAAAACAAGTCTGATTGGCAAGCTAGTTGTTTTTTTTATTTATGTGCAAGTCGGCCAGGATGATATCTACAACTTATAGTCCTAATATAGTATTTCTTGCCTTAAAAGTGGTAGGGTAGCTCTTGGACACCACCTTCAACTTGCATGCTTACTATGTGCAATTGTCTAACCCCCATTCTGCATGTGTACTTTTGCATGACAAAGACCCAATTCTCACACTATCATCCCTATACACTGGCCAGCACTCACTCTAGGCATCAGCTAATACCTACCCTATGCACTAGTGCTGCCGTGGTCCGGTTCGGTCCGGTTCAGAGGGTCCTTGACGAGAACCAAGAACCGAACCATGGTTCGGTTCTTTAAAATTGTCGAACCCAGAACCAGACCATTGAGAACGGTTCTCAATGGTCCGGTCCGGTTCTTGTCTGGTCCGAACGCGAACCAAACCGAAAACTTTTCAAGCAACAGAAAAAACATTCACAAGACATCTACATGACATTGGGTAGCTAGTCTAACTGCATACCAACTGCATACCCTTCTGCCTCTACTGCTGCTGACACATGTCCATTCTTATAGGCTGCCTTCATCAATTGTAGTGCAGAGAAAGTGGATGATGCGAGTGCGTTGCGGCGCAGAGTTGATGTGATGCCTGCGCTGGAGAAAGCGTGTTCAGAGGGAACGGAACTGCCTTGAATGGGCAGGTAATCACGCGCAACACGAGCTAGTGTTGGGTACTGCAGCGAATGTAACTAATCAAGAATGTAAGCGGGGAACAATGAATTTGAGGGCTGACTTACACCCCACCATGCCACAACATCATCAGTCTCCTCCAATGGTGAAGTAAGGTATGCAGAGAGCTCTTGATGAGGATCGCGCATGCAATGGTCTGTAGCTTGACGTTCCATGATAGCGTCGCGCATCCAGGAAGCACCATAATGAATCGAAGCTTTCGTTGTTGATGACGTGGCCTCTGGCTCCTTGGGATGTGGTCCTGGGGCTGGAGGCGCTTGATAATATTTGTCAAACTAAGAATACATCTGGAGTTAGAGACCGGTAGGGTACTTAAGTTTGAATAGTACTCACCACTGCCTCAAGACGAGCCCTCCCATTTGCGACCTTCGTTCAGAGCACAGCAGTCTTCAGACATCGTCAGGCAAATAACTCACAGTTTTTTGGTCGGCACCCCGTTTTATGCATGGCACATAGCCTAACACCACAGAGCGACAATATCCAAGGAGATCTGTTAGAGTTGAGAACCGGTGGAGGATCATGACTATCCAGGAAGCATATAGACTAGAACAAGTAGATATCTGTGATATAGGTAAACATATGTCAGAGTCTTGAGAATAAATTGATTAGTACTTACCTTCAAAAAGGCTAACAGTAGCCTGATTAACAAATAATGCAAATCTCGAAGACGGTGTTTTGATGTCGACATGGACACCGACGTCGTCATGGTTGGTGTCGAAGTCGAGGGAATTCGAAGGTCAAGGAACGGTTCGGGAAGGTTCGGGAAAGTCGAACCAGAACCGGACCACTAGTGAAGGTCCAGAACCCAGAACCGCTTTCCGGTCCGGTTCTGGCTGGTGAGGGAACCATGGACCGAACCACAGAGAACCGGACCAAAAGTCCGGTTCGAACCGTGGTTCTGGACCGGACCGCGGCAGCACTACTATGCACCAGCCAGCACCTGGCCAGCACTCACATTACATACTGGCCAGCACCCATTGTACATACTGGCCAGCACCTACCCTACAGACTGGCCAGCACCCATTGTACAGACTGGCCAGCACCTACCCTACAGACTGGCCAGCACCCACTCTACATACTAGCCACAGTGCCACACCAACTAGAGGTATCGGCCACCACCACCACCACACCTCCGGCCGGTCACTATCTACATATACTGGCCGGTACACATTGTACAACCATTTGGAACGTCCGGAGTACCGGTTCTACGTGTGGTTCTGACTGAATTATGTGGAGGTTTATCGTGCAAAATGAATCATGATCAACGTGTTCCAAAAAGGTCAGGCCAGAACTCAGGTGACGGACATGCTGAAACGTGCACGCGGTGCGTGTACCATAAATACTACAACTAATACCCAAGCTCAAGCCTTCGTTGGTATGTAACTCCTCTCTTCAACCTTACTCCCACACAACCATCCCATCTACTGACCGTCTTAACGTTTTATCATACTATGGCTCAGACATACGCATCATATGACCTTTGCGAGTCTCACATCACAGCCGATGCTGTTGCTCAAGATGTACGTTTTTCACATGAACTCTAATTGCTCGGCATTTCAAACTAATCTACCTGGTGACTTTAGAGTGTCGCCTTGACCACCATCTTTGCAGATCCAGTCACAGAGGATATCTACCACATCGAACAGCGTGCATCGGAGGGTGGTCGATGCATGCTCATGAGCAACAAGACTCAAAAGGAAGTCTTCGGCAAGGACTTCAATGCACGCACGCGCGTTCATGAATATCTTGCAGGTTCTGCAATCGCTTATAATGGGACTGTGTACTCTTCAAACTTCACGGACTTCCGTATCTATGCCGCGAAAGACAGGAATATCAAACCAATCACTCCAGGTGCCTAGGTACATTCTTCGGACTATAACGCCGTACTTACGCTCCCTGCGCAGAGGATCCAAACAAGCTTTATCGCTACGCATATTTCTGTGTACACCCAGTCCACACAGATCTACTCGTCGCTATTTTACAAGACCATACCAACGATACGTCGCGTACCGTGCGCAATTCTCTTTGTGTCGTCAACTCCTCAGCTGCCACTGTCGCGCCCTTGGTTTCCACCGAGAACGCAGAAAGTGAGTTCTATGCCACAGCACCGATGTTTTCCCCTTCTGGTGATAAGCTCTCGTGGCAGTTATGGAAACAGCCAGGCATGCCTTGGAAGGGTGGACAGATCTACGTGGCCGACGTCCATTACAATTCCAACACTCATACACTTAGCCTGAGCAACACGAAGCTGGTTGCCGGCGAAGCTAACAATCTTAGCGCGTGTTGTAGTAGGGATCCCGGGCAGGTTAGCGACAGTGTTTGGCCGTATATAGCGCCGGAGTTGCCGATAGTAGAGGTTGTATGTTGTTACCAGCACGACGCTGAAGAGAGTCTCTCGCAGTACTAACCAGATACCAGCTTAGTAGTATTTGAAAGAAATCTGGGGGCTTAGTACAAACGTACGACTTATACAATGCTACGTATATAATAGACAATGAATCAACTGTACCCTCCATATCGTACTCGACAAATGTCTCTGCAAATCAATCTACAGGAACTCAAATTGATGAACGGAGAATGCTGGAGGCTCACTTCTTGCGACAGTGCTGCCAGCGTGTCCCATGTGCCATGCAACTCAAGTCAAGCTCAACACCTCTGGGTATCACAGATGCAGTCCAAGGATTATGAAATGATAGAGAGGTGCCCGCGAGTAGCTCAGCAGTGTCGCGCAGTGCATGTGTCGTCGGGTTTGATGAGAAGGAAATGAAATCGTCGTGCGCAGTGTTGGGTGTGGAGATGGCCGATATTGGATGTAGGATGCAACTGCTGTGTGGGGATGATGGTGAATAGTCTTCTTCGGTATGGTCCTGCAGTGACTTCCCAATCACCGCATGCCACACTCGGACAGTTCCGTCCCATGAAGAAATAATGCGAGTCCCATCCCGCGAGAATGAGACTGAGTTGACCTCCGCAGTGTGCCCACGCAAGGGCTCACCGACTGGCTGCCCTGTTGCGATATCCCACAGCCGGATAGTCTTATCTTCTGAACCAGATACGATGTGAGTCCCATGTGGTGAGAAAGAGACAGACCAAACATCGCTAGTGTGCCCCTCCAAGAACTCTCCCCCGTTACTGCATCCCACAGTCTGACTGTCCTATCGTCCAAACCAGAAACGATGCAAGTCCCATCCGGAGAGAACGAGACCGAGTTAACATCGTCGGTGTGCCCGAGGAAAGGCTCAACCACTAACTTCCCCGTCCCTGCGTCCCACAACCGGACAGTCTTATCCCGAGAACCAGTCACGATGCGAGTTCCGTCCGGCGAGAATGAGACTGACCAAACCCAATCAGTGTGCCCCTCCAAGGGCTCACCAACAGGCTTCCCTGTTCCTGCATCCCACAGCCGGACAGTTTGATCGTACGAACCAGAAACGATGTGTGTCCCATCCGGAGAGAACGAGACTGAATTAACATAAGAAGTATGCCCTTTCAAGGGCTTACCAATCTGCTGTCGCGTTGCTGTGTTCCATAGCCGGAGAGTCTTATCGTATGAACCTGAAACGATGCGAGTTCCATCCGGCGCGAATGCGACTGAGTTAACTGACGAAGTATGCCCCGATAAGGGTTCACCAATAGCCTGCCGCTTTTTTACATCCCACAACCGGACGGTCTGATCGACCGAGCCAGGCATGATACGCGTCCCATCCGGTGAGAATGAAACTGAGGTAACTGACGCAGTATGCCCCAGCAAGGGCTCGCCTACTGGCTGCCCCGTTGCTGCATCCCACAACCGCACAGTGCGATCATTTGATCCAGTCGCAATGCGAGTCCCATCCAGTGAGAATGAGACTGAGTCAACCCAACCCGCGTGTCCGCTAATCACAGTTTGAACAGCTGTTCAGTTGATATCACGTCCGGATGCTACACGAAGAGACTTCAGAAACTGTGGAACAAATGTTCTGGATAGCGTAGCGTTAACGGGCGAGAATGGAAGTGCCGATACATAGAGATGAGGTGTGCTGTGCAAGATGATGCCGCCGAACACTTGAATGAATCTCTGCACGTCCATTGCAGCAGACAAGCCATCTTCGTATCCGATATGACCCTGCAATTGCGATTGCGTATTAGTTGGCATGTCCTCTGACACTCGATAACCGTGTGCTCACCTTCAACCACTTGGCAATGAGCGGAAGGGCGTGGACTGCACAGCTGAGAGCGGGGACTGCACCGCTGAGGGCATTGACATCGATGAGGCAGAGTACTTCGAGCCAGAAGAACAGTCGCTCATGGTCGAAGAATGATTTTATTTCTGTGACGAGTTCTGGATCAAAGTCAGTGGCCTGTACGTGCGAATGCCAGAATCGGCAGGTATAGGATAGATGTGGGGGGATGCGCTTCTCAACTCGTTCTCGCAGATCGGGATCTTCAGAGTTGGGGAGATAGGATGATGTTAAATCGCAGATATTGAACGAAAGCTCATCTTTCATCACTCCAAGTGATGCGAAAGCAAGGTCTCGTTGAACCTTCGGCATGTCGACAAAGAACTCTCCGCTGTATGATTGGTTTGTCAGGAAATCGCGGAAGGACGCGTGAAGAGGTCGGATTGGGGTGGATGGGTCGGTGGCGCCGCTGAGGAGGGATCCCATGTGTTCTATAATGTCCGTCACTTCGTAACACATACTTTCATCTGAAAAATGGCTTCGCATGACATTTAGGGAATTCAATGGGAGGGGTTCGGCTGTGCCAAGAATTTGTCCCATCACGAAACGAAACGCCGCTAGTTGCGTTTGCTGAGACTCAAAGCTTGTGTATCTATCATTTGGCATGATCTGCGTCAGAATGAAGTCATACATATCATACAACAGGCGCTCCCGTACGACAGGATCGCGCGACACCACGACATTGAATGACTGATCGGAAGACAAGCCAGGAGGAGGTGCTTCGATGGATTCGCAAGCAAGACGTGCCCACTCGAAAAGACCGTCAGCTTTCTTGGCAAGTGCTGTGAACTCTTTGCTCCCAAAATGCGAAAGCCCTTCCAGCTTCTTCGACACGTAAGCATAGATATCGCGTTCCGCGACTTCTGATGGAATGTCGTCCATGGAAATCCTTCGAATGTGTTGAGCGCCCGCAAACGCCTTCTGAATGTCCCGGAGCGGGCGAGAGGTGACGATGAACCGAAAGTTCTTTGGCAGCTCCGTGATTTGAGGAACGGCAGAGTTCTGAAGTTTACCGGAAAGAATGCGAAGAAGGTCGCATCGTGTTTTGGCCGCCCCACTCTCGTCCAGTGCGTCGATCACGATCACGACAGGCCCCACGGTTGAATCTGAGAGCTTCTGTATTGGTTCCATCAGAAGCTTCTGCCACTGCTGAATGATGTCAGCCGTAGTCTTGAGCGCATTAGCATTCTGAACTGTATCAGCTAAGGCCCGCCTCATCCCCCAATCACGATCGGCCAGGTCGCGCGCGATGGTAGAGAATATCTTCTCGTGGCGACGGTCGGCTTCTCGATCTCGGTCGAAGCAATAACAAGAACCAAGCCCTCCCGCATCGCTGAACCACTTAGCAATCGTGTGGGCGATGGCTGATTTGCCCTTGCCTGCAGGGCCAGATAGCCACAGTACCCCTGGAACGTCGTCTCCAGTGCTGTTCACCCAATCTGTAATTTGGGAGAGTGTTTCCGTGCGCGTCCCTTGTAGGCATTGTTTCCTGGTATCTAGCCCTGCATTCGCTGCATAAGTTATACCACTGAGGTCTAGTAGTTCGCCTGAAGAAGAATGTATAGCTGTTGCGCCAGGAACAAGTAAGATCCTCACCTATACGGTGGGTGTAGATAGCTCCATCCCGAGCAACTCGGTCTCGGAAGCTTTGCATGAGGGCATCCAACGCGTCGCTGTACTGTTGAATTTCATTATTTGTTTCGGTGAGAACGTCTTTCCCAAGTCTCTTCCCTGTTATAATGGTAGTGAGCGGGTGGAACGTGCAACAGCTTGAAGACTCACAGAAGCTCTTGGTCTCTGAATAATCTCTAATGAAGCGAGCGCATTCAAGGGTCTGCTGGGAGATCTGTCCAAGGATATCACGCATTGATGAAATGTGGTCAAGCGTCTCGTCTTGGATCATGAAGTTATAAACTTGATCCAACTTGTCGACAAGACAATGGACTGCTCGGTCGCGATCCGATTGGGCGATGACCATCTGCACCGATGACTCGTGAGCGGGTGATAAGACAAGAGAGGAACCGAACATACCTTTGAAGCACAAGACAAGACGCCTAGTGCAATCTTTGCATATGGATGTACCTGCGGAATAAGATTAGTTCTGTTCCAACCAAGAGGAATAGGCCCATACATCCGCGAGCTTTCCGATAATATTGTCGAATGTCCTGAGGGGTTGAAGATACATGTCCTGGAAACTACATGCGTCCTCGAGACCCCCTGATGCATTTTGGTTGGCAAATGCCCTGGATTCTACAGGCCTTGAACGTATTTTCATGCCTTTGACAGCCTTTTTGGCGTCCCGAAGTGCCGATTGGGGATCACCGTCTTGTTTCACACCAGATGGAGCATTCTGAACCTGTGCGACCATAAGATATTGAGAGAGAAAGCAGAAACTGAACGGTGACTTACCTCAGGCTTGATCTTCGGAGTTGACGAGGGGCCTTTGTGGTCAACGTTCGGGAGAACAGGCTTGCGGCTGCGCAAATTGTTCAGGATCCAGCGCTTGTGTATGATTTCAGTCTGATCCCAATAAAACTCGGTTGCTCTACTTACAGGAATCTTCTTCGTTACACCATCCTTGACTTTGCTCAGAAACCGACGAACTTTGTTTGGCGGTCGGACCTGGACAAATGGGATACCAGAGTCAGTGTTTGAGAGTACGATATACATGAGTAATATACCGAGCTTCCGCGAACAACTGTTGTGGTGTCTGGAAAACTGGGCTCGAGTCCGTTAATTGATTGCCGTTGCTCATGGCGAATAGTTAAAGATCAGTGTGGGCGAAGTAGGTGTTGAACGAGAAGAGTAAGTTTTATCAGGCCATACCCCTCGAGGCGATGTTTATTTGCTACTAGAGCTGCTCAATTCTAGGGCTTATTTTGCGACCTCGGCCCAGCTGTCAAATTTCGACATTTTTAGAATTATTGAATTGAGCAGCCCCAATGGCGGCGGCGGCGGACCCGCCCTAACTGTGTTGACCAGCGCTAAGCATTTGACGGGCTCCACAAAATGCCAGGAAGTTGAAGGAACGACTATCTTCGTTGGTTTACCGTTTGTCTATGGACGGTCGAAGTCAGTGAGTGAGGACGCTAGCTAGACGGTTTTGACGCCGGAGTTGCCCGAAAACAGCAACGTTCGATCATCACAGCTTCCATCTAATTAAACCACCACCTTGCCACCACCTTGGGTCTTACGTTTACATTCAGAATTGAGCTGACTCTCTGTTGGTGCTGTTCAATTCTAGGGCGAGCCCAGGCCAGCTGTCAAAAAATGACATCGCTTAGTAATGGGGAATTTCCTTCATGGACATCACGCGGTGGGTGCCTTCTCAGTTTTATGTTGTGCTCTGTATAGATATAACTGTTCAGATACGAGGTCGACCGGTTTGAGATGATCGACCAAGGGTCATTCTCTAGAGCTTATGCTGGATCTTGGCGCGATAGATTGGTCGACATCAAGGTTCTCCACGACTTTACCCCAGCTTCGACATTTCGTCAAGAGGTCGAGCTGTAGCGCAGACTCAAACACCCTCAGGTCGTTCGTATATTCGGGGCGAGTAGCACCCATGGCTCCAAGCCATGGTTCATCGTGAGCGAGCTATACGAACGCGGGAGCCTCGTGGAGTGGTTGCTGACCATGGCACACGATGATTACGCCACGCCACGCGAAGTCGACCAGTTCCGATTTATCTCTCAGATCGCTGGCGGGATGGAATACTTGCATGCCCAAGGAGTGGTGCATGGTGATTTAAAAGTTCGTGAGCCCTACGATGTCCCTACGCTCTGCTCATGTATTGGAACAGTGTACAAATGTGTTCGTGAATGCAGAAGGAAACTGTGCCATTGCTGGATTCGATCAGAGGGAACTCAAGGATGATGCCTACAGGCTGAGCGGGTGTCAACGACCGAGTATGTCGACTTTTGAAGTAGCGTTTTATTTCTGACCACCTGATTGCACAGATGGGACGCCGAGGTGGAAAGCGCCAGAAATTTTGGATGGTGCCGCAAGTCCGACGATGCAAGCGGACGTCTACGCTTTTGCCATCTGCTGCGTGGAGATCCTCAATATGGGTGGCATTCCTTATGACGAAGATATAAAGCGGATCGTGCTCGGTACGTTCAACGCATCTTGTCTGACTTTCAAGCTTGCTTATGTGTCTCTAGAACACGACGCTCGCCCAGAGGTGTCCGATACCTTTTTTTCTCGGTTTTTTGTTCTGATGGTGGCACCGCCACAAGGCTGACAACATGGTTTGGTCTATATTACAAATTTAGATCCTGGTCAACCCAAGTTCGGCGTCAAATCCTATCTGTGATATGATCAGTACATCAATCGTACGTCTCTCACACATGTGCAATACAGTCTATTGATATACCCATGGCCAGATGGGTAGCATGTCTAACAAAAAATACAGCATGAAGTCTACCTTACCTCTAATAATGAAATAAAAAAACACATCTACCCTGCAGGTCATCGCGGTATGGTCGTTAACAGGAAAATAGTAAAAAATAAATGTGTCATCAACGAAAATAGTCGTCTAAAGGAACAGTCATCAAAAAGAACCTACACCGGCAGATTCGCTAGGTCGGCTTTTTCTATCATGTTCGTGTCGTTGAGCTTTTCGTCAGAGTCCGTGCTCCGTCGAGCAGGATGTCCGGGGTCGCCGTGTTCTGGTTGCGGTGTGTGGTCCGTACTGCGGTCATAGAATATTGATACCGAAATGAACAGAATAGAGACAACTGCCAAGAGGAACCAAAATACTGCGGCTCGTCCTTTATACTCATGCGAGCCCCCATGGTTGGCCTCCACGGATGTCTCTATTGAGCTGACACTAGCGAGACCAATTGCTGATCCAAATTGAAGAGCGCCGTTAAAGATGGCACCAACTGTGCCTGCCATGGACGAAGGTGCGGCTTGAAATATAGCGATGCTGTAATTACAGCGATTGGAACGTGTTAATCAAACCACGACAATTTGAACTTACTTTGTGTGCGTATATGTCAGCATGACCCCTGCGCTCCCTAGAGAAAAAGCTGGGAATACGTATGGCCAATAGTCATCAGGTTTTCCTCCGCCAAGCGCCAGCAATACGGTCGCGATCATGCAAAAAGACATGCCTGTCAGAATAATCCATTTGGGACTGAAGATCCGAGAGAGCGATCCGGTGAAACTCATAATGAGAGCTGCGACACCGATCGGGAGCCTGGTAAGTTAAAACAGTCTGAATGACGGGAAACATGGAGTGACAGTCGAGACCTTACATGTGTACAGCCGATGATATTACCGACCACTCAAGTACGTTTTGCCACAGGGTGGTAAAGATTATGAACACTGTGAACCACCAAAATAATGGCAAGAGCGCCACGGCAAAAAGAATCGAGAAATTGTGGTAAAACCATGTCCGGGGTGGTCTGGTACAAGATCAGCCTATGATAGGTGGTAGGTGCAAGCATCCCTGATGACATACATTGCAGCTTTATCCACATGTATGCGTGTTTCCCAACAGAAAAACCCGATCACCATCATGATTGATACGATTAGCGGGACAAGCACCGCTGCAGATGCCCAGCCATCAGTGGATCCGGATGTCACAGCGAAGATGAACAAAATCAAAGCAACTGTCGAAGCTCGTGAGGGATGCGAAGCGGGGCATGCTGAAAATTCATACCAGTTAGGATGGTCACGCCGAGTAAGTCAAGACTTTTCCATTTCGCTGCTGCAGGCTCAAGATTGTCTTTGGCGTTTGCAATTTCTGGCGGTATGATGAAGGCACACGCCAGAGCCGTTGGCATAGCCACGATGGCTATAAACCAGAACACCCAATGGTAAGATGCCCATTGGACAAACATTGCACCAATCATGAGACCGAGGACTATGGAACGGGACCATGAAGTTGGTCATGGATAATCAGATAGGGGAGATTCTCACCGTTAGCGACGCAGGCGCAGCCTCCAAATGTTCCTATTGCGCGAGCTTGTTCAAGCGGTTCGGGAAATACGTTGACCAAGAGTGCTAGGGCAGAGGGGATTGTCATCGAAGAAGCTGAGAAGCGATCTTCGTCAGCCAAAACTGTCAGACGAGCGGGAATGTTTACCTATTCCAGTCAACGCTCTGAGAATGATGAGCGGAATGGTATCATCAACAAACCCAGCGCACAGCGAGATTATACCAAGACCCAATACACCCCCAACGAACCCAGTTTCTGTGAGCTCATTAATGTCGCTACCTGACAGGTGCGGCATGGTACTGACTTGGGTTGTATACGTCACTAATGCGGCCGCTCTAAACAATGGGTTGAAGTGCAAGGTCAGAATCAATGGGATGAGCACGCACGATGAGCAGAAAAGATGCAAAGGTCAACTGGAATGCACTCATGATCCAAGTGGATTGATTTTCAGTCATACCCATGGATACCTCGAGTACAGGGATTGCGGAGAAGAGAGCTGAGTTACTGAAGGCATCTAAGAATTGGGCGAGACAGAACATAAACAGTAAAACTAGTTTGCGAGTAAGTGAAAGTTCATGATGAACTGGTGTTTCAGCCGGGGAGAGAGGCTGCAGTGGCGGCATCTAAATAAGATACTGGAATTTGTCAGTTCAGGAGCGACCAGCTGATGAAGGAGAGGTTGAGAAACCCTCTGTCAAAACGGATGGATGGCTCCATATTATAAGAGGTGTCTCCATGACCAACGTGAATAAGACACACTGTGACGCATCTCAACACCAGCGAAGATCTCGATTATGCCCTCTGCTCATGTGACGTGTAGTATGAGCTTATGTAAAATATTTTTGAAGAGATTGGGCCTTTGTCCATTATGATGCGCAACTTGAGGGAGGGACGTACGCGAGTCGCATCATGTTTGACTTTGGTGGGTTTCCCGAAAATCCTTGCACCATCACGGGAAATTTGTATACCCACCCATCATAATCTTGTGATGATTATGTAGGCTCACGGCACTCGAGCATAGATTCATTGCATTGATTAGTGTAGGTTACTACAAGGAATGACTTTGGTATGAGCCATTGTACTATTCGAGCTTTTGTTCCCTCGTCGCACTATCAATGTCTTCGCAGAATAAATTCAGCTCCAGGATTGTGACGCTCAGATTCTTGGTCACATTACCACTTCATATGTACAAAATAACCCTGTGTTTCAAACCGCATGGCTACGGCGACGAGCCTTAAAGTGGAGGGAAAGTCGCTCAGCCTTTAAGCTTTAGGGGTGAGCACGAGTTTGGAAGAGTGTGGCACGAGTCTTACCCGGCGAACTTACATGAAATTCGATCTACGAGATATGTTAAATCCCGCGGTGAAGGCCCAGACCAATTGGACGTGGACTCAGCACTGCGCAGTTTCGAATCGCAGTGGCTGGCGGTAGCGCTATGGGTTGCAGGCAATTGTGCCGAGAATCGCCACTTCCTGACAAAACTTTCAAAGCACTGCAAGGTGACACAAGTTAATTGTAAACACCATTAGAAGACTCAAGTACAACGCGTCCACTGTGTAAGGTGTGATCATGGCCGCCGTCATCGTCAACAAGCCGCAGATCTCGGTGGAAAGCCTGGCTCCAAATCATAATCTTAACCCTCCAACGCTTCATTTCCGTTAACCGCATTCCCTTCGTGTGCTAGGTCAGGGGCTTGCAGTCAGGAGGTATTGCAGACAGTCAGCGGCCCCATCGGAGGTGTCAGAGGTCCTGTTAGCTATGTTGCTAGTCCCAAGTCGTTGTTCGTCTCGAAACCGGCGTGACATACGTGTTCGTATACTGTGACATGTGACAACGTGCGTTTTCCACCTTGAAAGTTGTTCCTAAACTGACTTGCCTTTGCTAGTTTTGTTCAGCCGGGAATGCTGCAGCCATGAGGACGGTCTTCTTCTCGGGGCCCAAGGTGTTTTGTTAAGTATATACTATTGACGTCTACGATCCAGTACCATATCGGTGAGGGAACTTGGCCGCCGCCATGAGTTTCCGAACTTCTTGGAGAACTCCTAGTCATAACGTATTCACAACTCCTCGTCACTGGTGCAACTGCCACCGCCACCGACCACAGCCTGACTTTAATTGATTGGCCTCATGCACGACCATATTGCGTGAGTGTTTTAGATCCAAATGTCATACTCCGGTGCAAACGCCTTGTACTACCTTGTTCGCGCCGGCTGTTTTTGATCATTTACAAGAACCTGTGAACGCATCAGCAAGAGCAAAGGGAAGTACAATTGCACCGATGACGCATCACTAGAGCGCTACAGTTGCACTGTTTAATGCATCAATATGACACGGGCCTGTAATCGTCTTTTGGTGCTCTTAGAATAGAAGGTTCGGCACGCACCCCTCTCTTCGTTTGCTGACGTATATCCTCTCGTGCTTGCTAATACATTAGCCCCCTCCAGGTAGAGGTATGATGCATCTCACCCGCCCTCGCTTTCTCGCGTCCACCTAATTGTTGTTCAAACGATACAACAAACTCAAGCGGCACATTCTGATACCAACTCTCGTTATATGTGTATCTACCAATATCGTAACAAAGGTTCACGTATACAAGTGCATGTTCTGCTGAGCGACGAGTAAGTGGTGGTCAAACGTGTCCACCAGTGCCAATGTGTTAGCCCAGCTGATCTTGAAGGACTCGGCAAGTATTCGACGTAAGAAGCTTAACGTTTGACATATGCATTTGTCCATCTATGTCCTGTAATGCGTTTTACAGGCCCCGCTCGTCCCAGCGACGATCGATGTGTGTGTTGACGAAAACACGATCGACGACACGAGCAAGGCAATGCAAATGGACTATTTTTACGATGCGATGCACAGACGATGGTGCCATTGAAGATCATACAATATTATATCATAAATTTTATGTCCAAAGTCAGGTGGCTCGAGAAGAGATAACGATTACATTGCCAGACAGAGAGCGATATATATCCATCCAGTAAGCCTTGGTGATGAGACCTAAATCAGCTTCAATCAGCAGGTCATAACTCGGACTGTCCGGACATCCGTCGGGAAGGATCTTCGATTAATTATAACTCACATGCTAGCTCACAAGGCCCTATATCAGCTTTGAAAGCTCACATACGTCGCCGCTCGTCCGTCTTTCTTCTTTCTGCATAACAAGTCGACCTCTGCACACCATAAATCTGCCTCCAGCGTTTTAGCCATGCCAAAACAAATCCGTCTCGGCATTCTCACGCCTTCCTCAAATACTGCGTTGGAACCTCTCACTTACCAGATTGTTTCCTCCATTCCAAATGTCTCCGTTCACTTCTCCCGTTTCCCAGTCACGGCGATCAGTCTCTCGCCCGAAGGTCTCGCTCAGTTCGACCACTCAGTCATCGCGCAAGCTGCTAAACTACTTGCCCATGCCGAAGTTGATATGATTGGTTGGAGTGGAACAGCGGCGGGATGGATAGGATTCGAGGACGATGAAAAGCTTTGCCAAGCCATTACCAAAGCTACGGGTATCCCTGCCACCACTTCCGTATTGGCTTTGAACAAGGCTTTGGGTATTTTCAAGGTCAAGAAGCTTGGACTGGTCACGCCTTACCTAGATGACGTCCAGGAGAGGATTGTGAAGAACTACAATGCCATTGGGATGGGAGTCACATCGGAAACGGAACGCCACCTGCGTGTTGTGAAGAACACTGATGTTGCCCTGATTGGAGAGGATGTATTGGAGACGTTGGTGGGGCAAGTGGTCGAGGGGGGTGCAGATGCTGTTTCGACTTTCTGCACAAATCTGATAGCGGCGCACAAGGTTGAGCTTTGGGAGGCAAAGTATGGCGTTCCAGTGTTGGATACTGTTACTACGGTCACTTGGGATATGTTGAGGCAGTGTGGAGTAGACACGAAAGCGATCAAGGGGTGGGGAAGGATATTCCAGGAGGCATGATCAAATCGATAAAGATTGAAATAGCTAGTTTGATGCATTGAAGGTGATATGCTATGGAATTTGCCATCGGTTTGAAGCAGAATTGCACTGGTACAATATTGAACGTGATCAATAGCGACAGTTCTACGATGCCGACTCATTAATACATTGTTAGATGACATATTTGTACACGCCCTGGAATATTGCAGGGAAAAAATAGTAAGTGTTGATGACAGCCAAGGTCTGACTCACTGTTTAACAGAGCCAAAGGCACCTCGACTCTTTCTCCTCGGTTGTCGCGTGATGCGCGCGATAGCATTGAACGACGCCATTACCCTCACAATAAGCTTCCTGGAACGTAGTAAGGCGAACATTTAGCGGATCATAGTTACCCTTCCTTTCACCGATGCACGGAAGAAAATACGTTGCTTAGGACAACATACTGGACGCAAGTTGTATCAGTCAGCCTAGTGCATCACGATGTTATTTCAACCGTGTGATAGATAACCCGGGTTGGGCCACATAAAGGACGGGAGGGGTAGTTGGACATGGCATTGCCAGAGCACTACGAGAGGAAGCTGAGGAATGCCGGGTGGTGAACGCCAAATGAACACTTCCGTGATGGTATGTGCCTGAGCTATGGTCATAATACTGGTAGGCGAGGATAGCTGGGGGAAGCATGACGCCGCATCGGATGGCGTGATCGAGGATACAAATCCCGTGAAACTGGTGTCGCCTTCAAGTGACATAGGCTAATGTGCTGAGGATGCCAAGCTTAATCCTGGTTGGCAAGTTTATGGAGGAGATAACGTGAAATATGACTGGTGAATGTGGAGGGTTGGTGCCTCATAGACATCTTATACCACTGGAGATTGAATATCTGGAAGAGGGCAAGCTGGAGTTTGTTTGAAGAGGACATTATCGTCGATCGAAGGATGAAGCACCTGCATGCGTACGAACGTCAGTATATACAACATTCCCCAAACATCTCGCCCTACAACTTAAGACCTGCGGATCAGGCTCCATCATCCATGATATGAGTGCGCAACGGAGATTGACAACTTTAAGAATTTTTGAATGTTGAATGTATGTGTAGAAGAGTCGTGGGAATTTGCATTGAACTTCGTAGGTCTGGTTTGCGCAACTTGATCCAACTTTACTCCCGAGTCACGACATACCCTTGCGTCCACCACTAGATATCATGACCATCCCACAATTTTCGTTGTCAACAAAGAGCACAAGACCCTGTAGCACTCAGACTACCCAGTAACTTCAGATAGACTGTTCAAATTTCGCGAACAATGCGTCTGCATATTGGCCCTCCCCAAAGAGAACACCGTCTACTGAAGATATAAGTGAGACTCGGAATCTCTGTGTTATGCGAGGTATCACAATAAATTTCCGATCATTGAAGCACTCCCGTATGTAATCACCTTTATATTTTTGAATCTTTGTTCTATACCATGCTCTTCGTGAACACGTTGCGGCGGCTCTTTTCTCCACACTTTACCTGCTTAGGCCTTCACGCCACTTGTATGTTATGGTATTGTATATAACTTGCTATTTTTTTCTTGTACCATCATCGATCTCACCCACTGTGTTACTACTTCATCGTATCGAAGTATCGAACACCAGTCGAACCTTCACACACATGCAGGTATGTTATTCCTCTTCTCCATCGCATCGTTTTGTCCCTCACTCGTGCGTAGAACACCATTCCATCATACCAACCCAAGCGTCGTAATTTCATGCGCGCATTTCTTGATGTAGGCTGTTGAGCTTTGCTCTATTGGCATTGCGGTAACCTTTCTCTCCAGTGTTTTACAAACACAAAGGAAAGTGCCACCCATAAACGTGATGATCTATTGAATGTGAGTATTCTCCCTTGTTTACTATATCCCTAACGATGTGCTGTCAGTCACCTGCTGCGCGTCCTCCACCTCCCAGCCCCATCCCCAAGGCTGTTTCCCCCGCTAGAGATCCCAAGTTCTTCGCAGGAGCCACGCGTTCTGACAGGAAAGATGATTCTGCTTTTGCCACCAAGTCTTTGTCCTTTGTCTGATTAGTATGTCCTTTTGTGGTTCGCGGTTTCAGTATTGTAACGCATCATATGATATCTTCAAGGAAGTTCTTACCTTGTACTATCACTGTACTATACGCGCTGCGGAGCATACTCCCATTATTCGCATAAAAGCCAGCGTGGATCTCAGGCTCTCGATTCAACGCACTGCAGAATCCTGACATTTTCATTGTACCGTACTACTGTGCGGTGAATGACTGAATGATACTTGCCTTTGTGCATCTCAAGATATTTGGGACTGCTTCAGTGAGCTACAATGGTATCGTTCATTAATGGAGTCTTGAGCTCAAGCTCACGCTCAAGTTCAACTCAGTCACGGTCAGGCTTCGAACTTGTTTTAACCCTTGATCTTTTAGTCCTTCGCAGGCTCAATCACCCATCATAATTCATATCAACTATCTGCCAGTGCACGCCGCCGCTCTCGCTTCAAGTCTCCTTGATTCCAATTGTCCTCGTAAATCTACGGACAGTCGGACTATCTTGTGTGATTAATTAAGCACGCACATATACAGATTGATTCAATAGGGCTCTTTGGTTTACACACTAAGACATTTTAGATGTCTGCATACGTGTGATGATCCTGGAAACTGATGGTCTCATTGCAGTTTTTTCAGTTTGTGTACCAGTCTCGATCATCAGCATTCGAGCTCAACAGGACTAGAAGGCAGCCCCGGTTTTACTATTACAGGAACAGATATCAGACGAGCGCTTGATGTTCTCGCAGCCCTCCCAGACATCCAGCGATTCCCATTTTCTGTGGGCCAACCATTCCGCCATGCGGCACCCGTGGTCGAGCCTCATGTGTATCAATGTTGTGCCTGCATCTCCATTTGAATCTCGAATAAGGTTTTCTAAGATCTTGCACCAGCATTAATGCTTTTCGAGGTAGAGTTTAAGTCAAGTTCTTAGATCTTCCAGCATGTACATACAAGGGATCTGTGTATTTAAATGAACGAAAGGTAGCTATATTGGCATAGTATGTGTGATGCTATACATGAATAGGCGACAGCAGAGAGTAAACCATGGAAAGGACGGTAGATAGGTGATACAGAAGTGAAATATGAAATGAACTCTACATCTCGTTGTTGATGAAAGCAGAAGAGAGAGGTACTAATTCAGAGGGAGATCGTTGGTATAGAGCGTTCCCATAAGAAATGTTTAGCCAAGAACATATCAAAAGGGTCCTGATTGGAAACTTGCAAAAATAAGGGTCTTCGGCAGCATCTGCAAGATATTCGTAGATAAGAAGTTCGGGATCCAAAATGCCCCCCGACTCATTGATGAGACTCCAGACATTTGGGTCTTCAGCGGCCTCTGCGAGGATGGTCTCTGGCAACAGAGAGGACGGAGGCTGTGGAGCGTAATGGGTCGTGCTCCCTGGAGAAGAACTCGATAGGAAGGGTTGATCGTACGAGAGGGGCGCAGATTGTTGTTGTGTGGGAGGGGTAGCCGCAGCTGGTGGGTATGAATCAACATGGGTAGCACGCGGGACATCGGCTACCGCAGATGGGTAATAGCCATCTTGCGTTGGGACCGAATCGTGTGCAACTCCAGGACCCACACTCGGCGAAGGCGTGATGGGCCTGTATGGGAGAGAGGCAGCGTGCGTTTGTATTGCAGTGGAACTGTTCGATGAGGTGTGGGGGATGGACTGGGTCATCTAGAGGTAAGAAGTAAATGCGGTTAGAAAACGTAGGTATTGAAGCTTGAGATACACGTACCTGGGCTATCAGATAATTGATGGAAATGTTATGAGGATGTGTACGTGTTCGCAGTGGCAGTAGGTACAGTTGGTAAGGATAGAGGTTGAAGATCACTGAAACAGTATTTATATGGTTGTCGCCTGCCGCTTTGAAAGTGTCCCCGAGTTGTGGTTTCACCGTGGAGACGTTCCTTTCGCAGAGTTTCCTGTGGACAACCATTGTTCATTAGTGTGATAGTGGTCTTTTGCTTGGTGCGCTCAGCTTTGTATCCACATTTGAGTTGTTAATTGTCGTTACAAGTCCGCAATGCAAAGACGAGAGCCGCGCTGTGGATGCGTTGTGGATGTTCGTTCCCTCCTGAGGCTAACAATCAGATGGGAGCACCACAACTTATGTCTCTGGCTCCGCGAACAGTTGAATAATCGTTGTACTGCACGGTCCAATGTAATGGCATACGACGCCGCAATGAGATTGGATCAACTTCATGATTATGTAGAAGCGAGATTAACGACTAGCATAGCTGCCATTGCTCACCCACCGTGCAGTCCTCACGATCGCCCCGTGCCATTGAACCGCTGACGGCGACAAGTACTCGATGGAAGCCTTCGAGGATGGCGGTCAGTAAACTGCGACCACCAACTAGATGAATTTAATTCATCTCGTCTTGACTCTTGAGCTTCTGCAATGCCATTTTACTTAGACGCAATTGGGACTGAGCAAGTTGAAACCTGAAGTAAAGATGACCCAGATGATTTGAATATGGGTACGAAGTTATTCCGGCCACCTTTAGGTAGGTCTTTCTCGGAAGACACCTCTTAAATGGCCGGTTCGGGACGAAGTATGGGCCTCGACGTGACCTATTGGCACCTCCAAGCGGAATATGAAAGTCGCTGGGTGTACAGTGAAGCTCGTCACTGTTTCTCACACATGCTCGCTAGCACTGTCTGGACCTAGCCTTAATCCCACTTATACCGTGGTTTTACTATATTTGATGCATCGACATGTCATTATGGACTGTGTTAATTTACAATCAATTAATCAACCGACCACAGTGAGGACATACCCTTGCCATCGGACTGAGTTACTGTTCAGGTCGCTGCGAGTCTGCGATAGAATGGCAGCACCGCAGCCTGCACAATCAAGAACGATGCTAATTGCCGACGGATGCAGAGAGAAGCCGGTAAGAAAGGCCAATATCTGCTTGATGCAACGAAGACACTACAGTTGTTATCACCCGGCAGCGAGCGGTCCTAGGTGGGCAAGGTGATGGGCAGACAGAGTTGATGAGCGAGCAGAGTCGATGTGGAGCATAAACTTGCAAATTCTAATGATATTAATGGCTGGATGTTCGAACATTCAACAGCAACAGCGGCTGCCAGGCGGGCATGGCCGTTGGAAACATTGAGCGAGGTTTTTAAAGTCCGCCGAGAGCGCCGTTAGCTGTCAAAAAGTTACATCCTGAATCCTGATACGGCTCATACGAGCCTACCTGCTAACTCTGACTGTACCTTCATGCAATGCCACTGCGACAGGCTCCCCACAAACCCTGCATTCTGTGCTCATGTTTGTACTCAACCGATGGAGCCGTGCCCACAAATACCATCGTTACTCGCGCTATTGGGGCCGCAGCTTGAATGGGCCTGGTTTCCGTGATAGACATACATTTTCTGCGGCTCAGCTCGACAACTTATGTTTTGTGATGGCGAATATGCGATAAAATGTGTCACAGAGCTTTTACTAACCAACTATCATGATTGTCTTCTACGTGGTGGTTTTCCTCATCACCGTCAACCAGACTCGCGGTTACCTCTCGATTGTTCGGAGAGGGGTGACCAATGAGGAAAAAGATAGGTCGCGACAATATATACAGCCGTAGTACTAACAGTTACAGGTGGATATATCCTAGCTAACGCACAATGATGGTACATCGGCACACGGAAAAGTGGATCCGGAGTCCGGACCAACGGTCAACCAAGTATGTGGGGAGCCAGTATGCGCCATGTAAAACCGGTGTCATTTGTAGTTTTCAATCAGTCAAATGTCATGGAGATAACCACCGTGACAAACAGACGATAAGGTGTTTACAGAAAATCATCTCCAGGTCACATCCCTGGCCTGGGAATAACCTTCTGTTGAACACCTCACAAGGGCATGACCAAGAAAGGGTGAGGATTCATAGAGAAGAAGGAAAGGAATAACGTCCGTACATGAAGAACATCTCCTCTCTGCCTCCTTCAAGTCGCATTACATACTTCGTTCCTGCTGCCACAGAAACGGAACTATTCGAGCCGAGTGCATATCGTCAAGACAGAAGGTGAACGCGTTGCCCGGTTGTGTAGTTGCATTCGGGCTGGACACGCAATTGACATAAGTTCAGAACAGTATGCGAATGGAGCCACTCAAGATCGACCAAAGATCGACATATAACGACTTTGCGATGATAACCGTGTACATTGAGCCAGAGATCGTTTCCAAATCGATGTAATAGTTGGCTTGGGGTTGTGAACAAGAACAACAGTTGACGGACACGGCGGTGTCAGTTCTGGCCTAGCCTAGGCGGAGGTCGGAGTTCTTCGTACGTTTCATGATTCTCACGCCGATCACACGCAAGAAACTAACTCTGATATGTAGGTGCCAGCGAGCATGCGCCAGGAGAGGACATGAATTGTCGACTCGAGGAGATGTTGGAGACCATTAATCATTCATCATATTCCTATCATCCTACCAATATTCCACATCTTCATTGTCCATCGGTAATTTCTGGGTTTGCAGGATATCATGATAGTATCGAAAAACACGCAAGTACGTTGCACGTTTTTAGTGATCTTCAAACTAACCTTGGTGTCCAGGAATGGAACACATTGCAGGGTTTGAATTACGATGAACCTGCTTACGATCACGATCCGTGGAGAAAGCTGATTTCAAGGACCAACAAACTAAGGTACGGGCGGGAGTGAGTAACTCTGGAATCGTTGTCTCGCAAGCTAACACGTTTGGCTGTGGGCTTTCAGAAGAATTTCCAATGACTGGAACTTCTCCTGACAGCACACAGCCAGAGAACGTTCTGGAGGGCATGGTGTGTTTTCAAGCGACACTCCTGCATCACTCTCATTTACCTTTACCATTTGTCTTTACCATTTGTAGGATATCCTGCTGAAAAGGGTCCTAGGAACGGGCAGAAAGACAGTTGCCCGTACGATCAAAGCCCGGGGCACGCCCCTTTCTGTAGCCTACGGTTTTTTGCGCTCCGTGAGATGCATGCACCCGACTCGGCGCACAAGGAAAGTTCTTGAGAACACGGTGAATATGTGCCTGTTTGAAATATCTGCGTGCTGTCTTCATTAGCTTATCGCTTATTGCATACAGCTGGATCTGGACGGGCACAGTGTATCATTCTGTACAAGCCCGCGGCGTGAATGTGACTAATAGAATATCTGAAATTCAAAATTCAAAAAAACTTGAAATGCTCGAGCGACAATGGATGTGACCATTCTGGTGTTTTAACTGGACTTGGTACCAAGAGGTGTGCGATCGAGAAGTTCAAGACACTAACCTCAGAAACTTCAAAGACGCCTACGCCTACCGTGACTGCGTGATGACAGCGTAACCAATCGCTTAATTTAACCATATTACAGCTGTTTGCAAAAAGGTTGACAGTATCGACATTTTGAGAAAGAACAAAACAAATAAATAATAGCCACGTACATAGGGTCAAATAACACGCGCGTCGCGCATATACTTGCAAACGCTTGACGCACGCATATACTCACAACAATGGACTCGATATTCACGGACAGCTTCTCTAGTGATGGTGAACTATCAATGGCAGAAGATGACGACATGTTGCAGTCTTCCTCCATGGACTCTGGGAAGCAAACTGTTGTTGCAGACGAAAACCCTGACAGGTCAGAACCAGTGGACGTACTCGACAAACGTGGACCTGGCCGCCCACGAAAACAAAAAGAAGGTATGCCATGTTCACCACAGGCTTAGGGTGTCAGGACTGTCATGAATATCCTTCGCTTAGCTCCTCCTGCACCTCAAAATGTCATGATTTCATATTCCCTCGTCATGTACTCATTTGAACAGATGAAGAAACCAAAGACGAAGAGGAGCGAAGAGACTGCGATCATCAAGCTCTACCAGGACGAACCCTTCGATACCCTCAAGGCCCAGATACTCAAGTGTATATCCGAGAGCCTGAAACCAAAGAAGCTCGATTACGACGACTACAAGATAATGTTCACCATTCTTCGTCATCAAACAGTGCCACTATCCCTCAAAAAAACTGCCGAGTATGAACATCTTGTCGAGTGTGCTGTCAGAATGAAGACCCCTGCCATGAAGCTTTTGATCGAAGCATTGAAAGACCAGACAGCAGTTCGTGTAAATATGTGCATATATGCTACTGATCTTGTGATGGTTTTGTAGTCGAAGAAACGGAAGAATGGCGATCCAGAAGGGGATGGTGCGAAGGCCAGTGACACTGGTGACACCAGCCAATCAAGTGGCTCCGACAGCGACGGCCAGAAGCGAAAGAAAAAGAAAAAGAAGGTAGCTGAATCGTGTCGTGTTTCCCGCATCATGTTTTGAAGTTATCAATACTCAATTTTTTCGAACAGAAGAAGCTGGTCAAAGAACTTCCTCTCAACATCGAGCTCTCTGCCCAGATCAAACTTTTGCAAAATCGCTATACCTGCAACAAGCCTGGCTGTCTCACGTCTGGTTATTGTTATATCCTACCGGATAACAATGCTCATTTCACGCTAAGCCATCGGCACTTGAGCGTGTGGGCCGCTGCTTTGGTAACACGAGGTAATGATGTGGAGAGTGCACTCGCTGAATAGTTTGTTGTTACTAGGCTGCAAAACCACCTATCACGACACTCGACAAGCCACCGAACCATAAGGAATTCGATACATTGTCCTCTAACCTCTTGTCGAACTCTGCACCCTTGATCCAGCGACGCCTTGCGGAACGGAACACTGCTCAATCTACTCCAGACCCATCCACATTGACTGTTCCGACAATCAATTTCAACCTTCCTAACGACATTTTTTCATTCTTACAGCCTGCATCAGCACCCTTGCCAACCACTCCTGGTCGAACCAATGCTCTCGTCAATAGTGCTGATATGCCTGTTCTTCCTGTCTCTGCTTGGCCTGGCCCTGACTTGTCTCTTGCGAACTTTTGTGCTGTGTATGACCTATCTCCGGACATCCATGCCAAGCTCACGGAAAACGGATATACAGGAACACGGACCATCAGATACATTGTCGTTTCGGAGCTGAAAGAAATGGGATTCAAGAATGGCGAGATTGTGGCAATGAAGGATGCAGTTGCACAGTGGGCTAATGGAGAGATGTGAAGCCCAGCGTGTCGAGAACCAGACCATGAATTGAGTACATAGATTTGTATTGCTGTCATACTTGTATCAAAAGTGTTCTGATTGGACTTGATGTAATTTTACTGCTCTGCTGTCACTAAAAGTATCCTGCATGAATGAAGTACCCTGCTGCATCAGACATCGTAACAATACTCATGGCTTCATACATGTCAAATATAATACTATTGGATGCAAGGAAGTAGTCCTGATAGCGACAGATGAAGGCCTTGGTCTTTGAAAAAGCTTCTTCGATTGGGTTCAGATCTGGGGAGTAGGGTGGGAGATACTCAAGGCGAACACCTATCCCCAATGGTTCAAAAACTCATCTAGATCAGACACGGTGACTCACCATAAGCTTCGATCAATTCCGCAACACCCTCTCCATGATGTATTTTCGCATTGTCCATTACGAGGACGGACAAAGGTCCAGGATAAGGTGAACACATTGGCAACTAAGTTGTGTCAGCTTCGCAGTGCTTGCCAGAGTTAGAATCAGTGACATACCACCGTAGATTGAAGGAACTCGAGATATTTGACTGTGGTGAATGAGCCTTCGACAACACTCGAAGCGGCAATGCCATTTACAGTCAGAAGTCCTAGTCCAGAGACACGCTGCCCACGAACAAAGACCTGATGGCTACATGCACGCTGGCCTGTAGCTGCTCGTCCACGCAGCCGCCCTGCAGTACGCTCATCTTTGGATGTTTCGTCAAGGAAACCAAGCTGCTCTGGTGAATATTGGCTCATGCGAATGAGAAAGTTCATCCTCTTCTCCTCATTCCTCTCCTTCGCGATCTGCTTCAGTTTCTTGAGAAAAATGCCGACGCGTGTTAGTTCGTGGTGGATGGTAGTATAGTGTATAGAGATGAAGTGATTGGTATCGAGAAGTCGAAGGAGCTCATCTAAGAACCATTTGGGGCGATGGTGAACAAGACAGACGAGATATAGTACATCGTCGCAATGAAGGGTACAAGGACGACCACGAATACCAAATGTATGCCTAACAACGTCTCCAGTTTCACGCCAGAGCTTGAGGATCCGCCAGAACGTGCTTTCTGAAAATCCAACACAAGCAAGAATGTCTTCGAGTGCAAGATGTTGATACTCGTGAAGATTGATTGCAGCTAGTTTGACGTCGCGACTGATTTTCCGATACATGATGGTCAATTTGTGATGTATGTATGTGGCTATTATTTATTTGTTTTGTTCTTTCTCAAAATGTCGCTACTGTCAACCTTTTTGCAAACAGCTGTAAATAAGACTTGCCGTTCGCCCTTCTGAAAGTCTACTACAGAGTGGGGAATGAAACATCCATGCCTTGCACAAGCAGTGGCCCCCACCCCTGTAGTTCTGAGGTTGCCTCGGTTTGTATTTGCTGCATTGACTGCACGATGGTTGCTACAAGTAGACCTCTTTCAACTTGTTCAGCATACTTGTAAAATGAACACAACCCAACTCACCTCCCTACTCTCTGTAGCTGAGGCCAAGTGAGCTTGATATTCTCCCTCTGTGACCATATAACCTAAACCATCTGAGAGGAAGATGTCCTCTTTCGGCTGTCTCATGTTTATGTGCTGAGCGGTAAAATTTCCATCTACCACAAATCTCTTCATGACAAGCCACCTGTGTTGAACATCCAAAATTAGCATTATTGAACCATAATAATTCTTTGGAGAGTTCTTCATAACCAAGACAGTCTGGCCAGAGTGCACTTTACAAGGCACATAGTATCGCAGCACAATGGTGACAGCCGGCTGGACTACCTGCACTAGCTGTACAATCAGTACTGGCCAGCATCCTCTGCTGCTATTTGACCTCGGCCAGCACCACACATACGTTGGCTAGCTATTGGCTGGCCAGGTTTAGGAAAAACCTGGCCAAGATCTGTACTGGCCACTGTACCAGGTGTACTGGCCAGGGTAAATACACACATATGTCCAGCCTGCAGCATTACTGGCCTATGTACAATGTGTACTGGCCAGAGTTCACCTTGCTCAACAGCCATGAGTGTATACGACACGTAGCAACCAACCGGCCACTGTCTAGCTATGGTTTTGCTGCACCAGTAATAATAATTGACTTGCCTTTCATACTTCTGCTCCCAATCAAGAGGCATGTTGATTCCTGGCTGAGGACATGAAGGGCAGAAAAGGGCAAGATCTCCTGGGCCAGGTCCTGATTTCATATTATGGCCAAATCCAAACCATTTACGGTTCTTCAAGTCTCTCCACAGTCGAGATACTCTCATGAGTTCACGATAACGATCCTACAGATGCCATTGGAATTTTGAACTACAAATATAGATTTCTCACTCACTGGGACAGTATCTGGAAATGCATTATTTGTCAACCTTGTAAGTTTCTCAAAGAAGCTCCTGGCTGAAGTCTTGCATTCCAAGGCGTCAATGAGAAAATGATCCAGTACTTCGAAGGTGAAAACAGTCCTGGGCCGTGTGGAGCTGGCAGGAAATAGCCGTGCTCTCAGGAGCTGCAGGTGCTGAGGATCAGATCCTTGGCAATGACACCACGATACGTTGTGTGTGAACACTCCTGATGAATGTACAATAGTCACAGGGGTGGTATCTTGAGGTAAGGGGCCTGTCTCTGTAATATCATCTACTCTCCCGTCTTGATCCCCGTGAATTTTCAAAGCTCCATATGAAGGGCAAGGCTCTCCTCCATGGCCTAAGTACCATATGAATCCTTGGTCAGCAAGAGTGACGTCCTGGAAGCACATGTTGTTCCAAAGTTGAATTTTGTGGAAAGGTAATGACTGATGCGATCTGATCAAGCAAGGACGACACCACCCATGGTCACCAGCACAGGTTACACAATTGAATGTGGCCTCAGCACTCTGACATGTCTCGCAGATCCCTGCACAGGTGAATTGTTCTGAATCTAGAATTATATCTAGATATACATCTCAATAATGAAGATATTCTGCTATGAAGTCGTTTTGTGTCTATAGCATGCATGAGAAAACTTTTATCAGCGAGTTAGAAACTACTAGACACACCTTTGTTTTTCTTGGTTGGTGACCATCCTCTGTGTCCAGAATGAAGTCACCCAAACTTTCCTGAGAGGCTTCGACATCCACAAATTCTGCATGGTTCTCTTTCATTCGTTTCCTTGGGCTGCTGGGGGAGGAAGGGTCCATTGATGTTTCATACAGTGGATCTGCACAGGATTCGACCCATGAGGACTTTCCCCTCTTGTCTCTGGTAGGCTTGTAGGCAACATAGTCTACGTCCAGGTCTTTCTTTTTGGATAGGCTACCTCTGTGTTTGAAAGAATAAGAAACAGCCTTAAGACGATTTTTTTTCTGCCCAGACATGATGTTTCAACCAAGGAATGATAATGTGAAATGAAGTGTATAGTCAAAAATTTGTCTAATCAAATCCAAAAATCTCGGCTATCACAAATGAATAACTGTCTCTACTTACTACCTCTGGACTCTCCCCTGTTCAACCCATTCTTTCTGCCCTTCTTCCTACTAACAGGTTTTCCTCCTTTACCTGCCCCCACTTTGATGAGAAATTCCAAGTCCGTTGGAAACATCGGTCTAGGAATACTCTGCCTATCATGAACTTTGTCCTTGACAAAGTGGGCGATTACGATCCTCTCCCCATCACGCCACCTTGGGACCCCATGCTCCAGTACCTTACCACAAATGTAAACCATGCTCCCAGGGTCATATTGTAGCTCAGCACCCACGTCAGGCAGATCCAATATAGCCTGGTGACCTTTTCTGAGGATCACCAAAAGGTCATAAAATGATGGTGATGCTCCTGGATCGCGATGATACGGTGTCTCCCGGTTGACAATCACCTCAATTCCAGAAAAATCTGAGGGCCAAACAACTGGATTCGAAGTCTTGACCGCTTGCTTCAGGCTAGAAATACATTGCATGCCGGCAAGATACTGATGGGGTGCAATAATACTGGTGATAGCGGACCAGAATCGTTCGGTTGCTGTGATTTCAGACAACCAATATTGAACTATGGGTGACGACAGAGAAGTTGATTGATATAAAAGATCTTGAAGCCGCTAACTCAATTGAGTTAGTTTTGTCTTGTGAATCGGATATGAAAAAAATCTCACTTCATGACGTTGCATGAAACCACCGGGGCACATAGTCACCCGTCCTGCTCCAAATTCTCCTCCGCCAGAGGGTATGACAAAGCCTTGTGAACGCCAAGGCTGTTTTGCCTGTTCCGTTGGCTTAGGCAAAGAGTGATCAAGGACAGGTCTGAGTATCTTGATGACTCATTGATGTGTTCCTAGATTATAAACAGTTTAAAATAGGGTTTTCATATTCGTGAGAGTCATACCATTCGGTCGGGCATCAGGATCTTGGGGAGATACCAAGCTAGGATTCTTCCATGCTTATCAACCAATGTGGTGGGCTCGGTTATGTGACCAAATGAAGAAGCTTTGAAATACTTGGCTAGTTTCTTTCTTTGTTTTGTATTTCGGAAGGCTTTAGCAGAGTCCGAAAATCGATCAACATCCCAATCTGTTTGTACTGCAGTCAAATATTCAAATTCGGGTACAGTCGAAAAATCAAATAAAGACGTACAACTATTAACTGCTGCGTAAGCAATGATTACTGCGGCCCTGGAAATTTCAATATCAGTAATGATCGTCGGATTAGTACCACTATCGCCACTAGCAGACAGTAGAATGTTCTGCCACTGATTCCACAATCTGGTCCTTAAATTACGGCTGTTGAGTGGCGCAGAAAAACAACTTAGAAATTGCTTACTTGGCTCTCTGTAGTAATTTTTCATCAATGTTGTTCTGTGTGAACAATTCAAACGGTGAGGAATCACACAGGAGTTCATCAACGCGGCTACTGAGCCTTTTGGCTAGTAAAGCTACAGGATCCCCCATTGTAAGTCGGAGTGGATGGAAAATTTCAAACCTGTCACGTCGGAAGTATAAATGAACATGCCAACATGTCACACATTAATGTAGCCTAATGGAGAATCCCCATGGGTAATTACATAATTCTGTCGAACATTAGAAGAGGGTACTCTGGGCCTGCCGGTTCCTGTAAAATGGGTCAAGGTGTTACTGAAGCACTGAAGAATGGCGGTGATCTGAACAATAAAACAATGAAAAGATGGGTAATAATAAATGGAGTTTTGTACTATGTAGTGCATAGATTACGGAAGAATGAGGTTTTGTTCGGTGAAGATGAAATGGGGGACATTTACTTGTGAGTTTAGAAGATGAAGAGGGATGGCTGTTCACTGAACAAAACTCACAAGTAAAGCTCCCCCATTTCATCCCGTATGCACTTCACCGAACAAAGCTTCATTCTTCTATAACCTTCACCACTATCATTGTTTGGTGAAGTGCGTATGCGCAATGAAATGGGGGAGCTTTACTTGTGAGTTAGAAGATGAAGGGGGGGGAGGACAAAAGAATGAATTTTTGTTCCGTAAAGTGCTTATAGGATGCTTCTAACTCACAAGTAAAGCTCCCCCATTTCATTGCGTATGCACTTCACCAAACAATGACAGTGGTGAAGGTTACAGAAGAATGAAGCTTTGTTCGGTGAAGTGCATACACGATGAAATGGGGGAGCTTTACTTGTGAGTTAGAAGATGAAGGGGGGCAAGGACAGAAGAATGAAGTTTTGTTCGGTGAAGCACATATGTGATGAAATGGGGGAGCTTTACTTGTGAGTTAAAATATGATGTGAGGCAAGGAGTCAAGGACAGAAGAATGGAGTTTTGTTCGGTGAAGTGCATACGTGATGAAATGCGGGAGCTTTACTTGTGAGTCACAAGGATGAAGAGGGGTGGTGGTTGTAAAGGTTACAGAACAAAAGTTTCAGTGAAGTGCATATGTGATGAAATATGGGGAGTTACTGTACAGCTGTGAAGCAACACTTAGGGCGCACTGAAGGTTTGTCCCCAATTGCACTCTGAACAAGAAAGGTGGGCTGCTAGGCAGTTGCATACGGGCTTTTGAATTTTGAATTTTTATATTTGGCCATCTACGCTCACATAAGCTCAGGTAACTAGGTTCCTCGATGGCTCAACTATCAATGAAACAAAAACATCCTCCAAATCAAATCAAATGTCCTGAATCAAAGCAAATCTTGCAAACTTGTTGGTAACAGATAGGCATAAGTCTCCAAAGACTTATATGGGGCGCTGAGTATACAAGTCACGTGATTTTATTCCAAAGCGGCACATATGGTTTCTAATACAAGTCACGTGATTTTATTTCAAAGCGGAGCATGTGATTTTATAATGGTAAAACTACTGAGACATGTTGTGCATTTTAAAATAGTAATAAAGTGAAAAAATTCTGCCAATACAAGGCCACTGTGGAGGGGCCCTCTCCACAACGGTCTTGTACTGCTAACTACAGTACATATAAAAGTAGGTACAATCTGTAAACATTGGTCAGTACCTGTAAAGTCAAATATAATCAAAACCGTCCTTTTATTAGATATTGGCGCCATATAATAATACCTGCATGAACGATGGTCAGTGTTTGCTAAGGGAATACAAATGAAACTACCTTGTTGAGGAAGCGAATTTAGGCACACATTGAGCACCATACCCCAAGTAAATGGTGGAGGAGGATAGGCGCACCAGTGTGGACGCTATACCTCCCTCCAGCCCCAAAGACCCATGAAAATATTGGAGGAGGATAGGCGCACCAGTGTGGACTTTGTATGCACAATGCCGGTTTCACGCGATCATGTGACACCCATGTTCGAATTATTGTAAGTCCGATTTGTTATTGTTGAATCCATCGGCCGGTACCGCTTCTACATCTCATAGCCCCAGCTCATGCCACCCAAGAAGAACACTGCCAAGAAGCGCGCTGCTGGGGGTGTTGCCCTCAAAGTCAGTGTTCCCCTTGGTTCTCCCAATCCATATGTGGAGGATCCATTGCCAAGTGGACCGGCGGCGCCTGAGCTGCCTGCAGAGATCCACAGCCTAGTAAGTTCTTCCTTCATAATGTCTATCTTAGCTAATTTAGTCAGTGGTGTATGATCTGCCGTGACGGCGCCGAAGGTGATGTTGTATTGTACAAGTGCGACGCTTGCCCGCACGTTATGTGCAGTCACTGTATTGAAGTCCCCACCGGCTATGTCGACATTGTACAAGGCGTCGACGTCTTGTTTCTTTGCCTATCCTGCCATTCTCTGTGCAGTCTTAGAAAGCCGGCACCCTACTTTGTAAGTACTTTTTTTAATTCTTTTGACTACGCTATTAATGTGATTACAGGGATTCTACAGCGCCAACTTGCCTGACAGAGGAGGGCATCCTGTCCTTCCTCATTTCCTCCGGCTCAACGGCAAGTTTGAGGCCGTGTCATGCACGTTGTTGGCCTCCACGCCGGTCGCCATCATTCACTTCATCATCAGTGCAACTGATGAAGTGATAACACCTGTCCCCCTCCTGTCGCACTATTTGGAACACTTTTTCCCCAACGGTGGGTACACTTACCTGGAGGTTGTCTTCGACGTTGCAACACACAAGAAGATAGACGCGTACACTCAGACGCAGCAAGCGCGTGTCACTCAACTCACACAACACCTTGGACGAGCTGGACGTGTTTTTGCATTTTTTTCGAACCATTCCGAACAAGACAGCGGGTGGCTGTTCGCGGGTAAGGTAAATGGTAGATATATTGCTATGAGCGTCACCCAGGTAATGTATCCATCTATTCTGCAAGTTCTTGGCTAATTGGTGATCTAGGTACTATATACTGTATTCCGGCCTTATCTTCCTCTTCTCAAGGCCGCCAACATGGTGCTCCTTGTGTGTGGCTCTATTGTCACACATGAGGACGCATTTGTTGAGCTCAAGCAGGCCGTCCTGGACATCAAGGTAGCATCCGCTATCATTTTTCCTGCCAAAAGGTTCCAGCCACTGGTCGCCACCAACTTCCTACTGGCCCTAGCGGAACTTGTCATCATCGAACAGCTGGATCTCCACAAAGTCTTTCCCTCTCTGCTCTCCCTCTCCAACCGCCTTGGACTACATTCCAAGATCATATCAATGACCAGGGATAACACCACCCATTTTCCCAGGCTTTTCGTCACAACTTACGCACGCGCCCACCCACAGACACAGCCGTGGGGCATTGAGGTGCCTTCACAGTGTCCCCTCTGCGGCTTGACCAATAGTTGGTCGGAGAAAGTTGGTGTGACAGCGTCACAACAGTCTCAAGGTGTCGCCGCTCAAGACCAGGCCGCAGGTGTCAGTAGGTACATATATACCTGCTTACATACTGAATGTGGTAAGAGCCAGGGAAAGTCTCCCCATAGGTTCCAGATTGACAAACCTCTGGGTTTCCTTGTCAACACCGCTAAGAGCAGGAACAGCGGCTGGTTTCAGTCCCCTTCTGCCATCTTCCCATCTCCGTCTGTTCAGTCTGCACCTATTTCGGCCACATCTTCCATCAGCCAAGCCAAACGTCCAAGGAGTAGCAAAGAGAGTTTAGATGAGACTGAGTCTACTAGGAAGAAGGCACGCAACTGAATTATTTCACACTAGTTACTTAGATAGATGTTTTTGCAATTGATTTGATTTGTTAGCCTCCATTTGTGCATTCATCAGCGGTTTCATTAATTACAGGTTTAGAAATAAGGATATGAAGTGTTTGCGACACGTAGTCAAGGGTCGGCCGCACAAATGTTCCAAACACGATCACATGACCTTTGACATGTGATCGTGTTTGGAACATTTGTGCGGCCGACCCTTGACTACGTGTCGCAAACACTTCATATCCTTATTTCTACTACTAAACATATCATGGACAAATGGTATGAGTCTTTCGAGGGAATACTAGCTATCCACCAGGACAAGTTTGTTACTGCTTCGGCACCAACACGTCAAAGTATTTTGAAGACAATACACGATCAGATTGTCACAAAACATAAGTCACTGGAGGATCCTGCTGCCTTGCTGAAGCCTTTAAGAAAGGTTTGTATGGCTTATTTTGTATAGAAAATAGTACTTATTTGCCTGTATATGAAAAGGCCATTAGGCGCTACTATCTCCAGTTCTTAACCGATGAGGATGATATTCAAGCTGAAGGAGAGTTCCTGGAAGATGAACAGGACAATGAAGCACTTGGTGTATCCCCTGAGGAGAGGGAGATGGCAGCTCGTCCAAAGGATGCCGCATTTTACAAGAAGGAAATTACTGACTGGGATGTCGCACAGAAGTTGTTCAAGCAGGAAATCGATGACTATGACAAGGAGGAGCAATCAAAGTTGGGGGGAAAACATTTGATTAAATTCTGTACAGGACACGCGAGGGACTGGTTTAACAATATGACTCCTGCGCAACGTGAGGAGGTAGAGGACGTGAAGGAAAAGTGGAATAGGGAAGGTGCACCAGCAGAAGCGCAGGCAATGTAAGTATTTATATTCTCAACTCAGTATCTCCTATAACTACATATACTGGCAGGTATCGGAAGAGGAACCTCAAAAGAGTCCTGGACGATTTTACAGAACAAATTCGTCGTACTATGGGGTGTCAGGTTGTGATGCTAGTCAGTCACAAAAAAAAATCTGATCAGACTCTAAGTGTCGTCGTGTGAGTGATATTGTCTTATCGAAGTAAAATAACTCAATGTTATTATTCAGCCATGAGTCTAAGCCCTTGAATGGCAAAAAAGTGTTCACACAAAGTTCTCGCGGCAACAAAGAATGGACATCTGATGGTTTTACAAAATTTGCGGAGTGGTCCAAGTCGGAATTCTGTGAGTTTTCATTTTGTATTGACTACACAATAATTAAAGAATCTTAAGACCCTGAGGACTCTGATGGAGTGTCAGACAATGAGGACGACAAGGACGATACCAAGGATAAGTTGCCTGAACTTGTCTTAGACAAGACAGGCTATGCAAAGCTTCCTTCACACGCTGGTATCAATGCGAAAGGACAGCAAGAATTAGTCCAACAGATCTTCCATGCGTCGTACAGTGAGTTGATGTCTGTTCGGTCAGCTTTGATGGGACTTAAGGTTGGTTGGGTAGAAGTTTTCACTGACAGTACCAAGCCAGTACCTTGGCGTGAGGTTGTGGCTAAGCCAAGTTTGTACTTGGACCTGGAGTGCCTCCCCAAGGGTTTCTTGTTGAGGGATCCCTCTCATTTGAGGGCTGACGACATCACCAAGCTGTGGGACCATTGGGAAGTCAGACGGGCAGCCAAGCAAAGATTGATTATTTTCCTTGCAGGCAAGCTTGCTGATATGAGCAAAGAGAGCCTGCAGAACGCAGTTCCCTATAAGGGGGACAAAAAGGTATATGTGGAAATCAGTCAAGAAAATGAGGACGATACCTCAGCCAAGCCACCTACGACACGTACCAAAGGGCCGGCCGGGACTAAGGCTGCCTCCAGTGCCTCGGCCAGCACATGCCCCACACCACGTACCAAAGGGCCGGCCGGGACCAAGGCTGCCTCCAGTGCCTCGGCCAGCACACCCCCCACACCACGTATGAAAGGGCCGGCCGGGACCAAGGCTGCCTCCAGCGCCCTAGCCAGCACACGCCTTGCACCAAGTACCATCAGCCCAGCTGACGATGACTCTTCAGAAGATGACTTAGCCACAACATCCTTTGCAGGACGTACAACAGGGCCGGCTGCTAGGCCATCTGGCGCTCAAGAAGGAGCACCCGCGGCAGTTCCAATGAAGGATCGCGTGCAGTTCTTGAAGTCCCTGAGCAATAATGATAAATACCTGCTGTTGGTTGAAGGGGTCAGAGACTTGGAGAAGGTATGTTCGTCATTGAATGAGCAGAATTCAATACTCACATGGTGTAGGGACCAAGCTCTGAGGAGCAAAGGGACTGGCCTACCTGGGCAACATGGTCTTGGGAAGAATCGTACCTTCCAAATGCTGTGCACTCCGAAGATGGTGTTGTAGAAATTTTTTTGGACATGATCGCATCTGCCAAGATCACCAGCTTGCCCTCAGGAATGTGCGTCACTTTGGGTCTCGGCTTACTGCTCAGGGAATGTAAACGTGCTATCGAGTATGAGGTGGACGAAGCCCCTCACAACACCCCCACTTACCTTGGTGCCTCGACCTTAGATATCAAGATCCTCAGCCTTGTTGAAGATTTGGTCGATACTGTCAGAGGTAGGATGCTTCCAACGCTCAAGGGAAGGGAGGGTCAGCAATGTGCTGCAGGAGAGCAGGAGGAGAAGGAAAGGGATCACAAGTTGGAGGTCAGGCAGCACCTGGAGGAAGAGTTGAGGATGTTGGAGGAGGCGAAATCGAGGAATAAGAGGTTAAAGGATGATATGCAGAAGCTGCAGGAGGAAACAAAGAAGCTTGTGGAGGAAAATGAGTCCCTGGAGAGACAGAGAGTGGAAGTGGAGCACAATGGTGAGTCGGAGGCAGAGGTAAGAGTGGAGGTGAAGGGGAAAAAATGGAGCAAGTCGGGTGAATCTGGAAAGCCACACAAGATCACCAAGACTGACGACATCCGTCGCTCTTCCAGAGCTAGGCTGCCCTCCAAGAAAGCAATGAAATATTAGCATACTTGTATCTCACGCATGCTTTGTTTAAGATAGTATATCTACAACTTGAACTCAGAAAATATAAGCCTGGCCGGACAGGACATACCCACATGTACCACCAGGTCTGGCCAGTATGTGCTAAGAAAATATAAACCCGGCCGGACAGGCTTTACCCACAGGTAACACCAGGTCTGGCCAGTATTTGCTAAGAAAATATAAACCCGGCCGGACGGGCCATACCCACATGTACCACCAGGTCTGGCCAGTATGTGCTAAGAAAATATGAACCCGGCGGGACAGGCCTTACCCACAGGTAACACCAGGTCTGGCCAGTGTTCTTATGTCTAAGATGCCTGGTTAGACCTATTCTATCCATAGGTTATAGTAGTTCTGGCTGACATTGTGATTTTATCTATGCCCGGCCAGAACTGGCCCTGCATGACTGGCCAGACCTGGTGCTACAATCTGGTCAGGAAATATAAAGCTGGCCAGACCAATCATACATACATGTAACATCGGGTCTGGCCAGTGTTCTGGTGTCTAAGATGCCTGGCCAGACCTGCTGCTACACTAAGACACATGAGCAGAATCAGGACTGGCCAGTACCATATCTACATATATTTACTACCATCGGCCGGTGACCGGCTGGACACAATCTATGGACATTTGGCATGTCCAGGGTACCGGTTCTACGTCAAAATTGACTGAATGGACTGAAACCTCTCGCTTTTGCGCTTACATGATGTTTGGATCAAAGGCTCTTGACAAACAACCACTCTTGATCGGGAAACGATTTTGCAATTTCAAATTTTTCTTACATAACCAACGGCGGAAGCGACTGAAGCTCACCAAGCTTGCACATATCTGGTTGATCACAACTTGACCACTACATTGCGCATACGGCAGCCATTCACCATTGGACAGAACCTGAGAGGAGGGGGCTTACCCGAACGATAGCTTTACTCGGGCCTTCGAAATGTCGTGACTCAGGTTAATAAAACTGGGTCAAGTATGGAGTAAGCACTTAATTTGACCGACTCGACCCTGTCGACTAATGTGACTCTGTTGATTGACACGTTAGTTAGTGTGGCGGCGGCCAAGTTCCCTCACCGATAGGTACTAGATCGATACTTACAAAACATCTTGGGTCCTGAGAAGAAGACCATCCTCATAGCTGCAGCATTCCCGGCTAAACAATAATAAAGGCATTAGGATAGGACCTCTGATACCTCTGATGGAGCCCCTGACTGTCTGCAATACCACAACCCCTGACCTAGCACACGAAGGGAATGCGGTTAACGGAAATGAAGTGTTGGAGGGTTAAGATTGCGAGGCTTTCCCCCGAGATCTGCGGCCTGTTGACGATGATGTCATGATCACACCTTACATGGTGGAATGTGGACGTTGTTTACACCACATGTGGCAACGTATGATATACTTATACCCGAGTTCAGTTACCGGCCGGGTGCGGGCGCCCATCTAATACATGGGACCTCTGTTGAACGACGCATGATGAAACTAAGGTCGTGTTTCTACTAGTACAGTAGACTTGCTCATAACGTATATGGTAATAATGTATATTTTTCATATTGTATTGGGTTTGGGTGGCTCCTGTTGTGGTATGCGGGGAAATGGCCAGGATATTGTATAATGTATAATGTATAGTGTTTGGTGGACCAGGGTGGTCCAATATACAGTATGACACCTAGTTTACTAAGGCCCAGGGTGGTCGGAGACTAAGCCTGGCCCATTGGTCACGATAAACCAAAGTTGAGTACCATGGAGCTAATCAAGCTCTCAGGGGAACAACTCGAGGCAGCATGCATTGCATGAGTTAATGCAGACTCTTCCTTTGATATTATTCACAATCTTCATAGGCTCAGAGGGGTTTTGCGACGCGAAGAAATTCAGAATGCCAAGCAGGCTACTCTAGACACGTTCTGGAACATGAAGTAGACTAGATACCGACGACTCGTTGATGATGCTGTGACCGTGGGAACCGTTCCATCTCAATTCCATCTTGTATATTTTTCATAGTGTATAGAGAAAGGGTGGCTCCCGTTGCTATACGTTATGAGCAAGTCTACTGTAATAGTCACGGTACGCTATTAGTAGGACCTGGCCTCAGACACTCATCATTCCCAACCGGAAGTTTGATTGACCCATCAACGTCAATTTAGGTCAAGCTGGGCACGTAGATCAGAGCAATCATGGTACGTAATGATCAACGCTCATTGATGCACTCATCAATCATCCGGCTGTTAGTGAAAGAGGTAGCTCTGAACACTGTTGTCGTAGGTTGGTAGAGAGGCCTGTTGATGCTAAAGGGATTCATGCATCTCAAAGCCATATGTAATTGCAGGCGCTCAACAAAAAATCTGATTGCTTCCTAGCGTTACCAACAGTACGAGAACAAATTCCTTCCTTCCTTCATAAATGCATAACGGGGAGAATATAGCAGTACTAGTACAAGACAACTTTGGATCAAATGATAGCCATTCAAGCGAGTTCCCACTGTTCCCCTTTCTCCGTGTAGAGGAGTTCCTTCATGGTCTCACCGTCCACAGACAAGGAAGGCCCAACAGTGAAGTTGGTGAAAAGGGTACTGAGAGTCAACCCCGACAGAGGAGCAAGTGAAAGGAACACCTGATCAGTGGTGGCATTGACGTTGACCGACAGATCAACGGTGGTCAACGTGATAACGATATTGTCAGAGCCAATTATGACGGTCCCTGCACTACCGCTGGCGGTGCGACTAACGGTGAAGCGAGTGTGTTCGGTGCGTGAAACATACACCGCGTTCGTTGCGTTAGACGATGGGGGATAGTACCAATAGTCGTAAGGAGCGACTTTAGAGCGAATGAAGAAACTTTGGTAGGACAGCTATCAGAAAAATGCAGAACATCCTGCAAGGAACTGACTTACGAGTTTCTGCTGATGTGGTCAGCAAAATCTTTGAGCGGTGGGATGATGCTCAAGCCGCGACCACCTAAGTCATTCAGGAAGGTGAAAAACACCTTGCCGAGGAATTGGGTCGCAACCCCAGTCGTGGTGAGGGAGTCTGCGGCGTTTGCCACACCCACGTTATGGGTGTAGAACTGGGCGTTGACACGCTGAACGCTAGTCACGAAACTAGTGACGGCGGAAGTGGACACGGCACGCCACCACTCATCCGCAACTTCACGGCTAGCAAAGGTAATCACATATCGATAGGTCACGTTGTCCGTGATCTGAACAGCAATTTAGCACGACATCGCAGACAACGAAGAATGGATTTTGGTACCTGTTTGACATATGCATAGAAAACCATGATTGTGTATTCAACAGGAGAGATGATTTGTTGGCTGTGGTTGGATTGAAATGAGTCGTTCGAACACTGTACATTATATAGAGAGAGAAAGTTGTTTGGTCGGGTTGATCATAACATTTCGATGAACTGTGATTTGAAAATCAAAAGGGGGTGGATAAATAAATACTGCCGATCCGAGTGAGGACCCGATGTAAGATATGATGATTTGATCGTAACGTCGCGCCCAGCTGGACATTCCGGCAGGCTGCATTTCCCGGCACCTGAAGATGCACAAAGTCAGCAACCTCGTCCGACGGGTGGGTAAAAATAACAACCGGCTTTCCATATAGCCTTGCTGTCCTTAGTATCACAGTCGCGACTCGTCGGTAGTGGCTTGTCTATCTTACTGCCAAAGGAACAAGCAACAAGACATTGTCCAAGCATGTGCGAGACCTTCGAAGACATTCATTAAAGCTGTAAGGAAGTGGTTACAACTGACTTTCATCTACACATCGCTCAGACTGAGCCTGAGCTTCGTATTCCTTCTAGAGTGCGAAGTCCGAGTACCCAAGAAGGGCGACTCACAACCAGGAAGGAAGATGGGCTGATGGTAGCTCGGGATCTCCCGCATCTTCTTGCATAGAGCCGTCATGGAGCCTAACTGAAGTAAATCCAGGACAATGGATCTGCATTTTATGTGCCCTACCCACCCTCCGCTCTGAGTTCCTTTGCGTTGCTCCTGACCTTTTTCCAGTGGTACCCGCGTGCCGTCAGATTGGGGTAATTTAAATTTACTTGTCCCTTTGATCTTAGTACAACCCTAGGCATAGACAGATAGGCTCCCTCTCCCCGAGCTTAGGGACCTTACTGTAGTGCTAAAGACTTTGCTGAGACCAAAACTGTAAGAAAGTGATTGACAAGAGTGACAACTTACCTTCATCTACACATGACTCAGACTAAGCCCAAACTTCGTGCATACTGTGTTTCATTGCCCAGCACATGTGCGTACCAGTGTCCCAAAATGACACCATTATATTATATTCTGCAACTCCATCACTACAGCCTAGACCTGATAAGTGGGCTACCCTCCGGAGCCTTCGTGAGTTCCTGGACCTCTTTAAGTCCAGGTTCCAGATCCACCCAGGAGGGTTCTGTCCGCAGTAAAGTGCTTCTACAAATTCATTCATGAGAACTTGAAACTGACTGTCATGTGGTTTCAAAACTATACATGTATAGCAAGCCCCTTTTTGTTACAAGTAACATCGGTCACGTGGCCCCCCTATCATTTTCCCCTCATCCTCGCCCTCACCATCTACCGGCTCGTCCTCCTTTACCGCCTTTCCGTTGACCGGATCCTCGGGACCGTTCCCGTCCCTCGCATCGCCCGCCTCTATGCACGTGCACGCACGTTCCTTCTCTGATTCGACCACCAATGTGGTCCCGCACCTTTGACTCGGTCTGACTCGTGCCACCAATGTGGCTTTCCTCTTTCTGTTTCCCCTGACTGCGGATTCCTGCACGTTGTATTCTTACCATTGGTCCGTTCCAACGTTTCTCGGTCTCATTCCACATTCGACCACCCATCGCTAATCCGGCTGTGTTGCCAACGCACCTATACCATATCTACATCCCCTTTACCCTTACCTACTGTGCGGTAGCCTTGCCCTTAACCCTTTCCACTTAGTATAAGTAGTCGGTCATCTTGTACTAGATTCTCTAACTTGAATCT